TCGTAGTAGCAGATAAATAACATCTTGGAACAAAAGTTATTGGGAACGATTGAATGTAGAAAGCTCAGATATTGTATGGACCTCACCTTACTTTTTCAGTGCCTCGCTTGTTGTCTGACCGCTTACTTTGTTGTAACGAAGCCATTTTAGCGAGTTATCCATTTCTAGGTTTCCTACTCCAAGGCGCGCACACATGGAAATATTACCAAAAATCAAGAACACAGAGAACATACAGATGGGGAAGTGACACCTTTAAACTAACCATAATTTTTACATCGAAAAAGGAAAGTCATTAAAAGATATCTTAATAATAGCTAAACTTTGAGGGAAGGAGATTTAAAAGCGCTAGCGAATAACAGAGTCTCCTTTTCGAGGGTCTCCAATAACGTTCTTAAATCCCGCAATACCAACTAAAATTTTTCTCAATCCCATAATCCCGACGGTCTATGCTGGCTAATCCCGATCCCGATCCCGATCATACAATTTTGTCTCGGTCCATTTCCTAAACTTAGAAGGACCTTTTCGGAAGGTGATGAATTTCTCAACCAGCATTGATCCGTTGAAGTCTATGGTCACTGTAAGGCGTAAGTTCATCTCTTTTCATCAAAATAATGTTATCGTTTATTCTAGAAGCTTTTAAAGTTTTGCACGAATAACGTGCGCTAGTCACGATAACGACTTCCTTCCGCTAAACTTCGATCACGGACAAACGTATCAGTACAGACAGGTCGGTGTCAAAGAAACGAATAACAATGTCAACAAGTGCATAAAACACAAAAGATGACGGCAATCCCACAGTTTCATAAGGGATATAAAGAAAACTTAATTGTAGCGGCCGACACAAGTGAAGCACATTTTCGATGGCAACTATGAGTTTCGCTTCGCAAATAAAGACACACTATGAAGCGAGGATATATTTTGCGCACAAGCCTTGAATCGTTTTATTTAACGCAGTCGATTTAACCAAATACTTATTGTAAACTGAAATATGAAAATTATAGGGAAGAAGGTGAGCTAAATTCTGGAAAGGGTAGAAGAGAACCGCTTGAAAACAAACTGTAAAAAAAACTTACAGCCAAGTGGGAAAAACGGCTAAATTTCTCTCTGATAGAGGTACGAAGTGGGAGTTCCAGCTATTGCCATCGTTGTTTCCAGTCTAACAGAGCGCTAACACACTGCTGCAACAAATGTTTACGCCAACTCCCTCATCTTCTGTATGCTCTCTGCGGTCACCTGTTCAAGTGCAGGATACCAAGAATTTGGATTTGTAAAATAGTACACTGCCCAAAGGGTTGTCCTCTTTAAGCCATCTTTTGCTGCCTTTCCAAAGTTTCTTGGGTAATCTAACACCGTGGGGGTTTTCGAGGCCGTTAAGCATTTCAACTGACGTAGCAGTCTTAGATGCCTTGTTACCCTTTCAGCCATTGAAAACTTTTGGTAAATTGGCAACTTCGCTCCTGATATAATTTTTATTGCCGCGCAATAACTCATGAGTGTCGCTGAACAGCCCGACCACCTCCTGAATGCTAGATAGCCTGTTCACCTGGTGCTTTTCGTGGACCGAGAAGATCAATTTCTCCACAAACACGGACCGCATATAGAACCAATCAGATTGCAGGATTCGTTACCGTGCCCTCTGAAAAAAAAAAATGAGTATAATAGGTGATCAAAATCGAAACGTTCGGGAATTCGAAGTGGTGGTGAATTTCAAAAAGGCTTTCTTCTTCATCGGCCTACCACAGAAATTTGTCAGAGGTTGTCATCAGGATTTCACTTCAATCAATGTAAGTAAAGCTTACATTGTTCACAATTAAGCTATTGATGTGAATGGCAACGTTTTTCAAGTAAATAGAAATTTTGCGTGATGATTGTCACCCTGTATGTCTTGTGCAACTTCTGCCACAACATTCACCGTCATGAGGTGAGCCCGGAAAACTTGAACATGTGAACTTGACTAACTAGCAATTCTAAGATGCTTCTTGCAAAATAACAACACCGTTTGATATATGACGACGAGAATGTGTTCAAAACATTTCAAAACGTTCTCAACATGGCGAGAAACGAGAGGATATCGCGTTCACTTTGTCATTTTATTGGCCTTGTTTGGTTATGTGAAGGTGCGATGATATGAACGCTCAGACGGGAAAATAAATTTTAAACCTCGGGCATAGATCATTTTCAGCATTTACCACTAAATACGCTCGATTTTGGTCTAGTTCAGTAGAGAGGAGACTCTTTTCGGGGGAATGGTCTCACTAAGATAGGCTTAAAGGCATAAAAGGCAAGTTCTATCTAATACTAGGATATCTATCAATTGTCCGTAAAAGCTTCCACAAACAGCCGAAAAAACAATAAGCGGTAGTTGTTCACCATTAACGACAGACTTCCTTGGATTTGAGGCAGGATTAATGGCAATCGAATTTTATAAAATTCACACCATGGACGGGGTTCTTACGTATGTTTGCAAAGCGCTATTTAATATGTCTTTTGATAAAAAAGGGTTTTAAGCGTTATAAGAGGATGTGGGAGGTAGTTTGGAGAAAACAATGACATATCAGTTTTGAACATCGAGATTTTTTTTAAAACCATTTCGGAACACGTTCTGTACAACTCAAAATTAATTAAATTAAAATCAACAACCAGTATTACTGTGTACATGTTCTAGTTTTTGTGGACCGAGTTGTTTTTTTACATGCATTACGAAAGAACACTAGCCCAATAGTTCCAATTGAATGACAGCTCGTCTGCCTTGGCGGTTTCTATCCATCTATTTCCGTTCATGGAGAGTAATTTAACGGACACAGTTGCTAAGAAATTGTTCAGAAAGGCAAAAAATGCACAAGGTTGCTAGGACCGCAAAGAGTTGTTCCAAACACCAAACGCTGCTCATAAGTTGCCGAACACAGTCGGGACAGGGCTTCGCTATATCGTTCGAATATAGTGATTGCTATCACATGAGGGAACGCAGGTGACCTCAACTAGAATAATCGCATCCCACGGAGAATATCTTCTTTTCCTTTATGGGAAGTGCAAAGAAAATACTTTGTAAGGAGGAGATTGTTATTATATAATTCAACTTTCTGAATAATTGATTAAAACTAAAAATTGACTAAAGGGTCCTGTTTCAGGCTAAAATCAACAACTAACATAACTCTAAATGTTCTAGTTTTTTGTGGACTGAGTAGTTTTTCAGATGCAATACAGGAAGTTTTTCCTAAAAATACTTACTTACCCGGTGACGTAGAGCAAATTTGTGTAGGCAAGAAGGAAAGGGGTTAAACTCTTCGATATACCCTGACACTTTCGCGCTATATCAGTCCATGACAAAAGCTGAAGTAAAAAATCAACGACTAATTCACAATTCAAAACTTCACACACTTTCCTACTAATCACTCAATTAACAAAGCGTAATTACACGTCTGTATATTTTCAATCTAGTTCGCGTCTTTATAAAAAGCTAAGTATTTCGTGCTTTTGTTTCTCTGACCAAAATAACACTCCTACTGCGACTCACTTAACATTCAAATTTGAAAAAAACCCACGCGCTACTGTCATAGGAGCTTGCATAATTTCCCGCTAGGTTTGACCCAAGTCAGTCTTGTCTGCTCTCTAGGCTTCCTCTACCGTGCTTTGTTCCTTTCTCGGTAAGATGAAAGGTTTACGGTCAATCTGCCACCACAACAAATTCACTGCATGAAATTTATATCAACAGAAGTATAAGATTTGTAGCAAACAAAAGGCAGATGGGCATATTTACTCCCCTTTGTATTCAAAATAATAAAAAAAAAATGGTGTACGTGGCAATTTACCTTGTGGCTTTGACTCAGTGTGTTTGAATAATTTCATAATGATCAATTTTAAATTGATCTAGACATGTGCATGGAAATTTCCAAAGATTTTCTATTAACATGGTAAAATGTAAGATGTTCAGTTATAATAGAAGTGCATAGAACTTTCCATAGAACTGCTAATAACTTTGTAACATGTAACATAATTATTTACTGCTTTTAGTTCTCTATATTAGCTCTCTATATTTGTAAATAAACTCGTCGACATACCCTGACACTTTCGCGCTATATCAGTGCATGACAAAAGCTGAAGTAAAAAATTAACGACTAATGCACAATTCAAAATTTCACACACTTTCCCACTAATCGCTCAATTAACAAAGCGTAATTACACGTCTGTATATTTTCAATCTAGTTCGCGTCTTTATGAAAAGCTAAGTATTTCGTGCTTTTGTTTCTCAGACCAAAATAACGCTCTTACTGCGACTCACTTAACATTCAAATTTGAAAAAACCCACGCGCTACTGTCATACGAGCTTGCATAATTTCCCGCTAGGTTTGACCCAAGTCAGTCTTGTCTGCTCTCTAGGCTTCCTCTACAGTGCTTTGTTCCTTTCTCGGTAAGATGAAAGGTTTACGGTCAATCCGCCATCACAACAAACTCACTGCATGAAATTTACATCAAACGAAGTATAAGATATTGTAGAAAGCAAAAGGCAGATGAGCATATTTACTCCTCTTTATATTCAAAATAATAAAAAAAAACTGGTGTACGTGGCAATTTACCTTGTGGCTTTGACTCAGTGTGTTTGAATAATTTCATAATGATCAATTTTAAATTGATCTAGACATGTGCATGGAAATTTCCAAAGATTTTCTATTAACATGGTAAAATGTAAGATCTTCAGTTATAATAGAAGTGCATAGAACTTTCCATAGAACTGCTAATAACTTGGTAACATGTAACATAATTATTTACTGCTTTTAGTTCTCTATATTAGCTCTCTATATTTGTAAAATTATCAGCAAAATGGCTGTTGTTATTTTATTTTCTCTATGCATTTCTCAAAAGACAATTCCTGCATGTCTATGCTATAACAGTTGTCTATATATTTGTGATTTGAGGAACTTACAGTTGATGGTCTGTGTTTTGACTTAATTCATGTTCTCCATCCTATCTTAGCGTGCATTGTTAGCTTTACTTAACTGGAGATGACAAGGCACGGGTATAACAAGATCTCGCAAGACGACGAAAAGGCCCCGCAGAAGGTTGGCTTTGTTTCTTATGTTCTCTACCAGTGGATGAGCAGTGTCTTCAAAACAGGCAAACAACGAGCGTTGGAGCAAAGTGATTTTTTACCTCTTTCAAAAGAAAATCGTACGTCATTCGTAACCGAAAATCTTCAGGAGAACTGGAGGGAGGAAGAGAGAAAATGCCATGAAACTCCGCAAGGACGACCAAAGCTTTGGAAAAGCGTCACACGAACAATCTCCTTTAGGGAAGTTATGATCCTCATTTGCATGGGTGTTTTTCGTTCATTCTTCCGTATTCCCTCTCCTTTGCTACTTGGATATCTAATTTCATCGCTGATGTCTACGGAGCCACAGCAGAAAATGTTTCTCTATGGTTGTGCGCTGGCTCTGAGTATCAGCTCTTTGATGCAGAAAGTTTCATCTCAAACGCTTATGTACAGATGTGAATTGATGGGAATAACCCTGAGTAGTGCTCTGAATGGTCTTGTTTATCATAAGGTAGGTACCTTACTTCTATAAAATGTAGAGGATGTAATAATTCAGTCGTCAGGCGATGGTCTGAATAGGATAATTGTTTTCGTAAAAACGCACACAACTGATCATTAGCCCTTACTACTAACAAGCTTTTCTTTGGTTTGACAACGACTGATAGAAAAAAGAAAATTCCATTCCAAAAATAAATATAACACGATGGACAACTTCGTACTTGTGAAAGAAAGTCGACGTTCTTAAAGTTCACAAAGCGTTGCGCAGTCTGAAGTAGCCAAAACTGAGACGTTATCACGTGGAAATTAATCTGTTTACATAGGGGAGGCGAGCAAAGAAAGAGATCAGTGGCTACTCAGATCGACTTGAGTTAGGCTGTTATGTAAAATGTGCCTTCTTGTTTTCTCGCGGACGTGTAAAAAGATTTAGGACAATGGGATACCTTCAATGCGTGTTTTAAATTTTTACGCCCTGCTTCACGGCTTGCTCACATAATTGACCATATTTGTCGGAATTAAGCTGTGAACTCGGAGCTACTGTGTAAGCTCACAACATGACTGCGTTTGCCGATCAGAAGGCTAAAAATTCAATAACCGTGCTCACGTTTTATTAAAAAGAAATTATTTCTCTTTTCCAGACACTTTTACTCAGCAAAGACACATTATTACAGTACACAAGAGGTAAAGTTATTGACCTGGTTTCAAACGATGTTCAGCGTTTGGAAGGAGAGACAATCAAGTGGATCTTTTTTGGTTTCTTTACATTAATTGAGCTCCTCATTCTTCCGTTTTTGATGGTGTATTACATTGGCTGGCAGTCTCTTATGGGAGTACTCTTTTTTTATCTTCTCCTTCCATATTTCGTCTTACTGTCCAAAGGGGGCGCGGTTCTGCGATTGCAAACAGCAGCGGTCTCTGACCAACGCATCTCTCTGATGAATCAGGTCGTCTCAGGGATACGTGCTATCAAAATGTATGCGTGGGAAGATGAATACCGCCAACAAATCAAGAAACCACGAAGGTATGTAAAGATATTATGAAACTAATTGCTCGATACAGAACTCAAGTTTCATGCAGGCTGTTTAAGACGCCCATTCATGAAATAATGTTATTTTGTTCTTACTCGATTCCAATTGTAATTGTGGCCAAATGAAAGCAAGCCTATTTCTTATTTAACAGCCCACCATTTCCATATTTTGTGCCCACTATTTCCATATTTCGTGCGAAATGAGTTATCATGCATGATAGTAGTTTTTTCTGAATGGTACAAACTTTATATATTGAACCAATAAGATCGCCTAGAACACCAAGACCACTAAGTATGTATGTCATCGACTAAATCGTTGTCAAAATATCCCAATTTTACTTGTCCTTTTTTCCAGAGATGAAATTGCCATTATTCGAAAGATGTGTGTTCTACGCGCAGGTGTTTTGGCCCTAAGATTCACTTCTGTTATCATTGCAACACTGTTGTCAGTCATTACCCTTGTGCTGACTGAAGAAACTCTGACACCATTCAACGTTTTTGTGTTGATTTCATTTAACAACATGCTCGCGATATGTATCGGCGCTTTCCTCGGGTTTGCCTTGTTAGAGGGATACGAAGCTTACGCCTCGCTTGGCAGAATTGAGGATTTTCTCCTTTTGAAAAATTTGCGAATCAGTTCAAGTGATCGTTCAAGCCGAAAAGAAACAGATATTGAAGCGAGGAACTCATCTGAGATAAAGAGGAGTTCAGTAAATTGCCAGGAAAATATGGGAAAGTCTTCCACTTTGAATGAATCACAAGATCAAACGGTATTGCGTGTAAGAAGTTTGGCGTACAAGCAAATGGAGCGACAAGACTCCTACATTCTTCAAGATATCGAGTTTTGCACACCTGCAAGTAGTTTAACAGTCATTACCGGGCCAGTTGGTAGTGGGAAATCTACTCTTCTTTCTGTGATCGCTAGTGAAGTTCCATGCACACACGGAGAAGTATCCTGCCGAGGATCTTTAGCGTATGTTCCGCAGACAGCTTGGGTATTCTCTGGAACCATACGAGCCAACATTTTGTTTGGTTTGTCATACGATGATTCAAAGTACACCAGAGTAATTGAGGCCTGCGCTCTGACTGACGACTTCCAGCAGTTTCCTGATACTGATCACACGCTTGTCGGCCAACGGGGTGTTGTTTTGAGCGGAGGTCAGCGGGCTAGGGTTAGTTTAGCACGCGCAGTGTACGCTAATGCAGATGTGTATCTTTTGGACGACCCTCTGAGCGCCGTGGACTTCAAAGTTGGACGACACATATTTGAAAAGTGTATCAAAGAACTATTGAGCGATAAAACTCGGATGATGACCTCTCATCAAGAAGACCACATGAAAGACGCTGATGAAGTGATTGTGTTGTGTAAGGGGCGTGTGCTGGAAAGAGGGAGTTTCCTGGAGCTGCAAGACAAAGGAATCCTTAATAAAACTATTGACCCGCTCTATATGAAGATTTCAAAAGACAATACAGGTGAGAAGTTTGTCAGAGAGAACGAAAATGAAAGTGTTGAAGCTGCTGCCTGCTTGGGTGGGGTGGAATCTCCGTCGAAGGAAACCAGGAGTCTTCTGATGCCACAAGAAGATCGGGAAATCGGTGCAATTTCTTCCAAGCTTTACTGGGACTATTTGAGAAGCGGAATGTCAACTTGGATGATTTTGGCGATAATCCTTTTCTCTTTAATAGCCCAAGGTAAGACTTAAAAACAGCCTCTCAGAAGGAGCTTGCCATGATTACGCAAATTTCATTTTAGAGTCCAAAGTAATCCAAGACTGGATTGCATTTGCAGCATGCTTTACTTCTCTCTGTAATTAGAGGGTGTAAATTATCCCTCGAAAATCTTAACATTCCCATCTAGTATTGACCTACCGGCAAGTTTAAAAAATGTTGAATTTCTTCCGATTTGAAATACATTGGATACAAAAATAGTTTCTTCGTCTTTCCTAACGAGTATCAGTGTGTGTGTATCTAAGGTACATCAAGTCAGCAATTAAAATCTTCGTACCGTTTTATACGAAAGACAATCAACACATAGAAAGTTTTTTCCTGAGTCTTACTTAACTTTTCTTTCTCTTTCCACCCAGGGATGTTGGTTGTTCCCGATGTGTGGCTCTCGTTCTTGACAAAGCAACTCCCTCAAGATCAGAAAGATCAATCAAACTTAGTTATCTATGGATGTCTTGCTGTTGTATCCCTCATGTTTATATTGACAAGAACATATGTATTACTCTCCTGCTTCTTGCGATGCTCTGAGCGTCTTCATGACAAGATGGTCGTTGGCACTTTACAAGCTCCTGTTTTATTCTTTGATTCGAATTCGGTGGGAAGAATCCTTAATCGATTTTCCAAAGATATCGGCTGGTTGGACGAGCAGTTACCAAGGAAATTTCAACTAGCGATCGACTCAACCTTAAATGTGCTTGCATCACTAATTGTCCCAGCTGTTATGAATCCTTGGCTTATTTTCATACTTATACCGTTGATTTCGGTTGCAATATACCTGTCCACGTATTATTTGAAGACATCCAGGGAACTTAAGAGGTTAGCGTCCATAAGTCGTAGTCCAGTATTCTCTCACATTTCGGAGACCCTTGATGGACTGGAGACGATTCGGACCAGAGAGCGACAAAGTGATTTTGTGTATCAGTTTTACAGGTGGGTTTGCCTCGTCTTAATTAATTTTATACAACTTGCATCTTGGCTTAGTACAATGGATTCTAAGACATGAACTACTTGATTTATAGAGATAAAAGAAAGACGCCATATCGTCATTTCCATAAATAGTTACTGCAAGGTAATTGTATTTCCCTCAGAACAAAACGGGCACCCGACATCCTCGGCTCGATTTCCGCCGATCTCTCGTGTCCGGTCTTCGCTCCTCCCCGAGAAGAGACGAGAAGCTGGTAAAGAGCCTACCGTCATCTCAGATAGACGTTGTTTCTGATCCCCTATATGTTCAAATGATCAGAAAGCAATGAATAACCCACTAATTTTGTCCTGTTCACTTGCTTTCTTAAAGACATCATGATGTTCTGAATCAAGCAAACATCTTGATAATGGCCGGTGGGAAATGGATCAGTGTGCGATTTGAAATTCTTGCATCCTTATTTGTTGGTGCAGTGGCTTTCTCAGCTGTTATTATGTCTCAAGATGCCGGTGAGTTTGTATTACAAAAAGAAGCCAGTCCCTAATTCGATTGAGTGACCGAAGGCGCAAGAAAACCGAAATACTTGCTGAGTCTTATCAGATTAAAGGTGACCAGTGGAAGGTGTAGTATATTACATTCGCTCAGAAATGAGGGAAATCAAGGATTAATATTGTGCGTAATTTTAAGTACTAGTGGTCAATCGAGTCGTTAAGTGGATTAAATACTTTGTTACATCCATTTTTGAAATCACTGGTGATCCTTGCAATCTGATTGACTCTTACCGGTGCAATTTCCTCGCACCCATTTTTTGCTCTAATCGCATCTTTTTCCCAACAAACACGCCTCCCTCATGCCAACTTTATGCAGTTGTCCACATAAATGAATCTTCTCAGGAAAACCCCCTGTATTGCCTTGTTTAACTTTCCATGGCAAGGGCGTGGCAAGGCTATTTTTTGACTATTTAGTGTGGAAAAGCAGTTAAAATCTTCTTTGGTTAATCTTTAGTTTCAATTTTTGGTCTAATTAGCTTTTGCTGGACTTGCCTTGGCTTACGTTGTTCAAAGACTTGGGCGGTCTCATTACGCCATCCGAACAACCTCAGAGGTCGAGAATCTAATGACGTCAGTTGAACGAGTTATTACATATACCAAGCTTGAATGTGAGCCAGGATACATGATCGAACGACGACCCCCGGAAAACTGGCCAAATGAAGGAAATATCATATTCAACGAAGTATCCTTGAGATATTATCCGGGAGGACCACAAGTGTTGAAGAATATCAAACTCAATATCAAAGGAGGAACAAAGATCGGTGTCGCTGGCCGTACTGGTGCTGGAAAGTCATCTTTTGTGGCAGCTCTAATGCGCATGCCTGAATCGTGTGATGAAATAGTCATTGATGGAATTCCAGTGAAGGAAATCAACCTCCAGGAAACTCGACGATGTATATCCGTCCTTGGCCAAAGTCCAGTTCTGTTTAATGGATCACTGAGGAAAAATCTCGATCTTGTTGAGCAGTTTACAGATTCAGATTTATGGCAAGTTCTACAACATGTGCAACTGAAAGAATCAGTCAAAAGTCTTCACGGGCAACTTGATCACGAACTGTTGGAAAATGGTGCAAATATCAGTGTTGGAGAACGACAGTTGATTTGTTTGGCTCGTGTGCTGTTGCAACGAAACAAGATCATCGTCTTGGATGAGCCCACTGCAAATGTAGATCCAGAAACAGAAAAAACAATCTTGGGCGTAGTGCGTGAAAAACTGAGAGACTCTACGGTCATCACTATAGCTCATCGATTGAACACCATCAAAGACTGTGATAAAATTTTACTTTTGAAACGTGGAACGGTAGCAGAGTTCGACAAATTTGACACTTTGGTGAACACAGAAGAAAGTGAGTTGCGTGAAATGGCGCGAATTGCAAGTTCCAAAACAACGTAATTTCAAATAGCCTGTTAACTATTTCTCAGCCACTTTCTGTAATTCCTTTATTAGCTATCTTATGTAAGCACGTTTTGTTCACAATATACTGAACTTTACCAGCTGGTTTTTATATTTTAATTATTTGTGGCTCGTGCTACTTTACCATAAAGAAGTGTTCCTCACTGTTTGTCACGTTGATTCGTATCAGAAAGATCACTGTTTCAGTATACTTGCCGACCAGTATCAAGAGAGCTATAGTAGCAGCTGGAATATTCCTTTAGAACTTTTTTTTATCCTCATTGAAGTATTTTCTGTATCGTAATTTAGGGGCATAATAATAATGTAGGGCTTTCTGTAGTTTACGATAACGATCTCGACCTCGAATTTCGTCGGAATAAACTACTTTGAGGATCAAGCACAGTTGACTGAATCTCATTTTTGAAAGCAGATTCGGCCAAAAAGTAAGTTCTTGGGAATATTGGAGCCTGTGTTGCGCAGGTTTACAGGATTCGCTACTACTTATCTCCAGGGACGACATGCTAGGGATAGAGAAATGATATAAATATAATGCAATCACGAAATGGCAAAGATGATGTTCGTTGTACTTGTTAGTGAGCCATGTGTAGGAATGCAAAAAATACAGCAAGCAATTTTATAGATGTTTTTCATATAAGGTGGTGAACGCTTCATTGGGTACGAATAATCTAAGAACACGGAACATTTCACAACCATAAGTTAAACGTTAGAATCCAGCCCTTATTTCTACTCTTCTACCGGCTGAAGCGAGTGTAAGAGGGCGTAGTACTGTGATGTTAACCAAATCCATATTCTAAACGCACGAAATCTTTAACGAGTCAAGAGGTGAACTATGGTGTCGTAAGACCACCATAACAAAAAACCCAATGTCTCAACAATTTTCTTGTATATCCATATTTTATTTTTATTTTATTTTTTTGTTTTCTTTTTTATGTTTTTATGCCCTTTTGTTTTTGTTAAAAACAATCTAAAATGGAATTAAAAAAGGTCAAATCAAAATTTTTCATGTCCTATCGTTGCCAGAGGGGAAAAAATAGCTAAAACGAAAGAAAATTGGTCATGGCCTAACATTGCCATAGCGAAAAAAATAATCTTCTTGGCTTAGCTTTGCCACAGACCAGAGAGCCTTTCGGGTAAAATCGTGCTCCTATTTAAAATGGCGACTGCTCATATTAGAAACAACGATTAGCAGACGAGGAGAAGACAAGGAGTTCAATGACGCGTTAGGTGGTTATGTGAAGCAAATCCTTCGTCGAATTGAACTTTTAGACTTTGTTTCAAGGGATGTTAGTGAATATGCGTGGAGTTTAAGGACGCCAGACAGAAGACTGGAGTACTCTGGAATCAAATACACAGACCAAACCGTTCAGGTGGACGAGGTTGAAGAGGCATTAAAGAAAGAATTGGAAGGGCCGGGAAAATTTCTTGGCTACCGAGCGTTGCACAAAAAACTTAGACAGGTCCATGAGCTTAACGTTCCGCGGGATCTTGTATATGCCGTAATGTACAATGTAGATCCAGATGCTCTCGCCGAAAGGGCTCCCCAATTTAAGAAGAAGGCCAAAGACAATTTCACATCACGGGGTCAAGCCAAGGTAACATAGGTGAGTTTCGCTGTTTATATCATCACTAGCATGCAATGCCTGCAGTATTGTTGCAGATATATGCAGGCGCATGTTTTCATGCCGTGTGATTTGTGTAAGTCGGCCATCTTGTTGCCGAGTTAGGGTAAAACCACTGTCTTTTTTGGGGGACTTCTTTTGCCATGGTTACTGAAATGTAGATTACTTCATACCATAAATGACCAAATAAATGAGTCAACCATTTTATATTTAAGTGGGGGCGTAAGCTGCAAGCTGTTTTGGTACCAAAAATAACAACAACATAACAAGAAAAAAATTGCTCCACCCGCCAAAAAAAAAAAATTAAAAATTATAACTTGCAGAAGGAAGTATGCAAAAAAAAGCCAATAATCTTGAGCATTATGGGTCTGGAAAAGAAAGTCATGCTTAACTGAAATTTCCTCCCCCCCCCCTTCCCACTCAAAAGTGGAATGATCAGCCTCTGAAGCCCACTTGACTACCAATTACCATATATGAGCCTCCTGAAGCATTGCAGACGGAAAGACCATACCGGGTTTAATCATTCAAATGCAATTAATTGCAATACATTGCAGTAATAATTACACTTGTGGCTGGCAATGAAGTTCTGTATGGCATTCTAGGACAGATTACATGTACAAAACAGCATGTTGCTGGGCCCTAGCTCCTTGCTAGCAATTTCCAGGTCTAAAGGCAACTTCACCGACTTGAATATCCAGCAACATCACCTCTCTCTCTGACTGTTTATATGAGAAGTTTGCCAGACACTGCCTTCTTGATCAAAGAATCAGCATTTACGCTCTCACATATGCTCCCATTGTTGTTGATATATTTGTGGAATGTCCCCTCTATAAAATCTTCTGCTGTTACATACTCTTTGCCAATCATTCCAATCAATCATGCATATCTTCTTGTAATTCATGGTTTCCCCAAAAAGGATTTCATTATCGATTGCATGAAGCTCCTCTTTAAGCTTAGCTGCGAAATTTTGTGCAAGACAGTGCATTTGCACTACCTTCTTTGTATGTTCTCCTAGTGTCTGTCCAATAGCAATGATGTCGACTGCAGCCTTTTCTAGATACCTCTTCACCACCCATGTTGATCCATTGAATCCTCTGTCATTGGAAGTCGCTTTGAACGCCTTACGAAATCCACCAGTTCCAAATGGCTCGGGTTCAATAGAAAAATCCACGGTTGTTGGTCTACCGGTGCGCGCCATTACCGACATGTCAAAATTAAAGATCTAAAAGGAGGTTGTGGTAGCGGTAATGAGCTTTCCCAATTTTAGCATGTCAACAACCGAAAGTCTTTGTGGGACAAACTATGGAATTTGAAATGACACTCTTTGAGGTACTAATGTCTTTCCATGCCCGGCATTCTCACCCTGGGAAATGTCGCTGATCGTTCGCTTCCGCCGCCCACCGACCCCCACTGAAACTTCAATCGGAGCGTCCTTGACTTTGCCCTCTACGAATCGCCTATGGATCCTTTTTAACATTGGCAACTGTTTTACAGAGGAACAAGAGAGTCCCTGTTCCCCTGCAAGTGCATCGCAGGACATCGTTTCCGACATACCGTAGTGCTTCATGCATGCTTTCTTGATGTTTCTAACAGAGATTTCGTTGATTTCGTCGAAGTCTTCGAACGAGACTACCTCTATTTACAACTTCATTTTCTCGGCCTCAAGGTGGCTATATTAACAAGGTGACTTTTACATAAAAGAATTGGTCCATGATTAGCGTGCGTGTATCGAGTTATGGATGCACGTGGGAAGTTTAGAGAGCACCAGAGAACCTCTCGAAACGAACTCTCAAAATAAGCACTTTTCTGTGCTTTTTAGGTTCACTCACGACAGGCGATTTTGATACAATTCATTTAGGCACGCGCGAAATAAGCGGTAGGGATTATCGCGACTTTTTTATCACCACCTTAAAAAAAACAATAACAACAACAACACCCATTTAGAGCGGCTGGCAAGCCATTATCAGTGTCTATTTTGGGGAAACCGAAAAAATTGGCCTCCCTCGGATTTTTAACAGCTCCCTTTTTCTGGCCATTGTCTTCTGTTAGGTTTCTTTAAAAAATTCCCCTAGTTGAAGTCTGTTCTCTGGATCTAAAATCATGCGCGTTAACCAAAGCTTTATCACAAATATGGAAGTGTGGAGAATCAGCAAATGGGAAACTATCCCTCGTCTTGTCATATAAAGTAAAGATGAAACCAGGTACAAACTTAAGTCGCTTTTCCTCTATCTTTTTCTGTAATCGTCACCAACTTGAGTTGCACAATTAATTTAGACATGCGCATTCAACGTCTATTCTACCACACGGAAAATATAAATGAAATTTAGAGGAAAACGGCTCTGAATAACCGGCGGCTTAATTTTCGCGTTCTGTTCTGCAATCGAGTAAATTAACTTAATTCAGTTACAATTGGTTAAAATTTTCAAGAGACTTCTTGAAGTCAATCGCTACATCCTGACATCTTTTCCCTTCAAAACCCATAGGGCAAACGCAATGGGGACCTGTGTACATAAAGGAAAACATCTCTTAGTGCTAATGCTACAAATAACCTCATAATTCCATTGAACAAATATGGGTTCTTCGAATCGTTTCAATCAGAGATAGCTTCAAATGGTAAGGTATCTATAAATATAAACTTAGAAAGTGATGACCATGTTATTTTCAGAGCAGCCAGCGCTGCAGAAGGTCGATATGTTATTTCGAGATTTGTTTTGTGGGAACCAAAGATGACATTCAATTATAAATGTGAGAACTTATTTCTTAAAAGGTATTTGAAAAAACACATATGACCTTGTCTGAAAGAGAGAATAGAGATCGGGGTAACAACACGACAACAAATTCCCGTGCTTTCAATGACCTATCTTACACGCCTGACGATTGATATTGATTTGTTTCAGAATTCATTCGGTGTCCTCTATTTTGATTTAGGAAACCAGAAAGAAGTCGGGCTCTACGAAACTTGAATTGAAATACACATTATCTGCTACACCTAATGCAGAGTACAATATGTTTGTCTTGATCCTACATGAGGAAGAAATCAGCGTAGATGTGATGTCAGGAAAGTTTGTTCTGAGTACTGTTTTTTTTTTAAATTGAATAACCTTGATTCCTGATTGTTTTGAAATGATGTAACATATATTATCGTATTAACTACGGAGATCAGAAAGATACAGAAAGCAATGTCAACTGGTATTGGTGTGGATATCAAGATAAGCAAATCAGAGACAGTATTCACGTCATTTTGTGAAAGAGATGGCTCTCTGTTTAGCAGTCCTATGACTCTAGCTCCAGATTATTATCTAGTGTTGGTGCTAAAGTTCTTTCTGGTTTGGCAACAGTTGATAATGGAACTATCAAGTTTCAGGAAAAGGTCGAGATCAGCAGAGAATTAATTATAGAAGACGCTGACCATGCTAATAACCCAGTTACAAAAAACCCCCAAGAAACTGATTTCACTGATTATCTGAATAATAAATTTACTCCGAAAAGTGTATATCACTCAGATAACAAAATGAAACATAATAACAAGTTTGCTGTGAAGTTTTTTGACTTTAGAACACAGGATTATACAGATCATGTTATTGTGTCTAATGATGGCGATTCTGGATGAGATTCATTTCATGAAGTTTTGACCATTACCATTAAACGTATGCATGCTGGCGTTACATGATCATTTATAATGACGGTCTGAAGACAGATAAATCAAGCGCCTTAACCTTACTTGGTGAGTCTGTTAAGTCAGATCATTATATATGGGAATATTTAATCGAAATTCAGACAAAGACAAACACATAAACTCAGAATCTGACGTTGACACTCTTCTCGATAACAAGGATTATAAATCAGATGTGTATACGAAATTAGACATTGACACTCTTTTCGATAAAGAAACCTCATAAAACAGACGTCTACATGAAATCAAATGTTAGTTCTCTTAGATGACAAATGTGACAAAACAAACACAGAAGTGAAAATAAGGCCTGAAAAAATTCAGGTCTGTACGGGATTTTAACCCATGACCTCTGCGATACCAACCGGGAGCTGGTCATTACGTTGGTTCCAAAGAAACCCGTGAAGTGATGAATAGATGACTGTGAATATATGAAAATCGTATCTTTTTTTCAGGCTTTATTTTCACTACTGCTTAAGCAGTGTTCATTACTGCGAAGATCGCTTTCGTATTCACTTCTTTATCCGCATTTCACATATACGATTTTCATATATTCACAGACAAGACTGTAATTATTATAAAGGAAAAATGGCTCATAATAATACACAACAGATGGAATCTTATTACAATACATCAATAAATCACAGCATCAATGTGAAACAGTCTCATGATGTTCATTTCGTTCGTGGCTCAAACAATAGAAACAAACTCAAAATAATCAACACTGGTTTGTATATGATAACAATTTTCAATGAATACAAATCGACTCAAAACTCGCATATACAACAGAATATAAATAAACCGTTTAACCAATTGCATTTACAATATAGGCCTTTTTATCGTCACACTCTGACTACAATCAAATGACACCATAAGAAAGAGAAAAATGAAGAGTTGGTCACTTTGATTTCAAAAGAAATTTCAAAGTTATTATGCCCTTCTACGCCTGCCTTGGCCGAAGACGAGGAATATTTGGGGAAATTTGCGTTGGAAGGAGTTTTCGCATTTTTATACTTCTACACATGACATGGTCCACTATCAGGTAGAACGAACTTTATCTTTGTCATGTAGAGATTACAATTACAGTTATATAATTCTCTATCCTCCTGGCATGTCGCCTCTGGAGATAAATAGCAGCGAATCCTGTGGACCTGTGCAACACATGCACCATGTATTCCCAAGAACTTACTTTTCGGCTACAATCTGCTTTCAAAAAGGATATTCAGTAATACCACAACTATAGTTGATTAAAAGGTCGAGATCGTAATCGTAAACTGCAGAAAGATCTATATCACTCTTTTCCATTAACAACGAAACTACGATGAGGAAAATATTTCATTAAGCACGAGAAAATTACCAAGGGAAACTCTATCTGCGACAACAGCTGCCTTCATACTGATCGACATTGATACTGATACTTAATCAGCGATCCATTTGATGCAAATTTAACAGTCAAGAAGAAGTTCTTAAGATAGAATACCCGATACGAGCCACAAATAATTGAAATATAAAAACCAGCTAAAGGGTATTCCCCGTAAGAAGTAAAAGTGTGCTTATTAAAGAAAGCTAGGAAAGGAATAACAGATAAAAACTGAAAAATAGTTGACCGGCAATTTGAGGTTACGTTGTTTTGGAACTTGCATAAGATAAAGATTCTAGAATCCCTTGTTAACTTTTTATTTGACCGTCTTCAGCCGCTTTATGCGCATTTATTGTTGACATCGTCTTTAAATGACGAACTCTATTAGTCTGCTTCACGCAACTTTTTTTTCTTACGCGGGTCAAAAAACGGGCAAACACGAGCGGCACTCAATGGACCATTTAGTACACAGGATTCATTTCAATATGCCGACGGACGCTGTCGGATATATATATATCTATATATCTATTTTAAAGTTCGAATATAACTCGTGCTCTCATTGGTTAAAAGAGCGTGCTCTATGAGAGTATGGAACATAGAACTGAGCTAAAGCTGTCACGCCATCTGCCAAATTGTACTATTCCGACCTTTTCCGGGACTTCTTTTTAGCTTTTCTTTCGTCAATTGAAAGTGAAATTTCGGAACAAGCGAGAGAAGGTTTTCAAAAATGCCAGGCGCAGTAATTTACGTTACTGTAACGTGAGCAGAGACAAAAATCCTCAAAGATAAAACAAAATGGACAGTCCGAGTTTTAAAGTTTTTGACGCTCAGTTAGATTGCAAGTTTACGTACGGTGATAAAAATCAAATACAGCTAACACGTGTATAGTATATAAAGTTTCGAGTTCAAAAACAAAATAGAAAAAAAAAAGGAATGATGAAAAATATAACCTGGCATAACTGTTAAAATTCATTCTAATCATGACGGTGTCAGAGAGACTGCGATCATGCTGAAGTCTATCGCGGCTAGCTTATGATGGCGATCTTCGGTCATCGCAGTTGAGCAAGCTTCAGGAACTAAATCGACAACCCTTCGAGTGGAAAAGTAAGAGCTTGCTCTTATAACCTTTCCGATGCGTTGAGTGGAAGGCCACATCAGTCACTGCAGCCGAGTTTTACGGCGCTGTCATTCCGAGCGATCTTCATATCCTAGTAAATTCGGCTGTCTATCATTCATAAAACACTCGCCTTGAACAGTTTGTTTTCTACTTGTCAGGTGAAATAACTTGCGTATTTTTGTGAGCCACGATTGGGCCGAGTTTCACTGAACATTTCACTTTCAGATTCTGTATAAGAAACTAAAAAAACTTCAGGAACAAGTGTTAAATTCGACATGCCGAACTATTTTAATTTGCAAACTATTGCGGCATATGAACTTTGATGGTTTTTGAACTTTGATGGTTTGACATTTTTGACAGCTTTAGTCTTGTACAGCCAATCAGACTATTTGAACCATTCTAACAGGGATTCTGATTGGC